ACCATTGTCTTACACCAGACACAAAGATAAATTCAAAATGGCTGAAAGATTTAAATGTGAGACAAGAATCCATCAAAATCCTAGAGGAGAACATGGGCAACATCCTTCCTGAACTTGACCACAGCAACTTCTTGCAAGATACATCCATGAAGGCAAGAGAAACAAAAGCAAAAATGAATTATTGGGACTTCATCAAGAAATTTCTACACAGCAAAAGAAACACTCAACAAAACTAAAAGACAATCTACAGAATGGGAGAAGATATTTGCAAATGGCATATCAGATAAAGGGCTAGCATCCAAGATCTATAAAGAACTTATCAAACTCAACAGCAAAGAAACAAATAATCCAATCATGAAATGGGCACAGACAGAACAGAAATCTCACAGAGGAAGACATAGACATGGCCAACAGGCACATGAGAAAATGCTCCGCATCACTTGCCATCAGGGAAATACAAATCAAAACCACAATGAGATACTACCTCATACCAGTGAGACTGGTGAAAATTAACAAGACAGGAAACAACAAATGTTGGAGAGGAGGTGGAGAAAGGGGAACCCTCCTGCACTGTTGATGGAAATATGAACTGGTGCAGCCACTCTGGAAAACTGTGTGGAGGCTCCTCAAAGAGTTAAAAATAGATCTGCCCTACGACCCAGCAATTGCACTGCTGGGGATTTACCCCAAAGATACAGATGCAGGGAAACGCCAGGACACCTGCACCCCAATGTTTATAGCAGCAATGTCCACAATAGCCAGACTGTGGAAGGGGCCTCCGTGTCCATCGACAGATGATGGATAAAGAAGATGTGGTCTATGTATACAATGGAATATTACTCAGCCATTAGAAACGACGAATACCCACCATTTGCTTTGACATGGATGGAACTGGAGGGTATTATGCTGGGTGAAGTAAGTCAATAGGAGTAGGACAATCATCATATGGTTTCATTCATATGGGGAATATAAGAAATAGTGAAAGGAATTATAAGGGAAGGAGGGGAACTGAATGAGAAAAATTAGAGAGGGAGACAAACCATGAAAGACTCCTAACCCTGGGAAACGAACAAGGGGTAGTGGAAGGGGAGGTGGGTAGGAGGTTGGGATGACTGGGTGATGGGTTATGAGGAGGGGACTTGACGGATGGGCACTAGGTGTTATACCATATGTTGGCAAATCGAACTTCAATAATAAAAATATATATCTTTTTAAAAAACCCAAAGACATTCTTTGAAAGAAGATATTCAAATGACCAAAAAGCAAATAAAAAGATTTTCAATGTTACTAATCATTAAGGAAATGCAAATCAAGACCATAGGATAACACTTTACATCTATTAGGTTTTTTACTGTGTTTTCTTTTGTTTTTTTTTTTTAAGGAAAATCTTAGTGCTAGCAAAGATGTAGAGAAATTAGAATATCACACCCCACTATTGGGAATGCAAGATGATACAGCTACTTTATAAAGTAGTATCTGGCAGTTCCTCATATGGTTAGAGATAGAATTACCATGTAAGTCAGAAATTCTATTCCTAAGTATACACTCAAATAATTGAAAACATCCCAAAAACTGACAAATGGATAAACAAAATGTGGCTTATTCATACAAGAAAATATTCGGCCATGAAAAACAAACTACTGATGCATGCTACAACATGAATGAATATTGGAAAGATTATGCAATGTGAAAGAAGCCAGTCACATATTATATTATTTCATTTATTTGGCATATCCATAATAGACAACTCTAAAGAAATAAAGAGCAGATTCCTGGTTGCTTAGGTCTGGGGACAGGGATAGGGGAAATAGAGGGATAAAAGAGTGATAACTAAAGGATGGGGGGTGGTGAAACTCTTAAACTCTCTGTGATAATGGTTGCATATTTCTGAGAATAAAATAGAAAACCGTTGTATTTAAATAAATAAATAAATAAATAAATAAATGAAAACAAAATAACATCTCATGAAAAATACAGAAAATTTAAGATTTTTGTGAAAATTACTGTGAATTCTCATTTCTAGTTCCTTAGTCCCAAGATTAATATCATTTGGGTACTTGGAAACATTATTAGAGAGTGGCCTGGTCTTCCTATCATAATGTATTTTTTATTCACAGAATAGTTGGAATTCACAAATTTTTACCTATTTTATTTTTGGTAACTTTTTGACAATAGAATATTCTGGCATCAACACATATATACATATACACACTTCCTGGAAGATGAACGAACACGTATTGTGAAAAACTGAGTCCTGAATTCCCATTTCTCAAGTTGGTGACGAAAATGTAACTTGCACAAGTATTTGCTGTCACTTTTCAGCCACTGTGGATGATGTCACTGGCAATAAGAAAAATGTACAAACCAGAAATAACAGTAGTTACTTCAAAAATTAGTATTAGTAATTATTATTCTGCCTTAAAATGAAATGGAATTTGGATACATTCAACAACATGGACAAACTCTAAGTTTATTATCTAAGTGATATAAGCCAGATACAAAAGACAAATATTGTGTGATTCCACTTATGTGAGGTACGTAGAATAAGCAAATTCATAGTAACAAAGAGTAGAATAGAAGGTATCAGGGGCCCAGAGGAGGGAAAATGGGAGTTATTGTTCAATGGGCACAGAATTTCTGTTTAGGATGATCAAAAAGTATTGGATAGCAGCTACGTTTGCAGAACATTATGAATGTACTTAATGTCACTAAACCATATACCTAGAAATAGTTAAAATGGTAAATCCTGTGTTACACACATTATGTGACAACAAAAATAACCTCCCAAATTAATATTCATTTACAAACTCTGGACCAAAATATGATTTAATATATTTAGCTACAAAAGATGCACTTATGTATCACTTTATGAAGCATGAGTTTTCATCTAGATCCCATGATTTTTGTAAATTATTTTTGCTGTGGCTATTCTAAGATTTCCTGTATATATATAAAGTGTGCAGTGGTAGCTATTCACATGTTGCTTTCATAACAGAAGAATTTCATTCACATTAAACATACACATATGTCACTTCTATAGTAGAAGAAGCTCATATGCATTTATATCAGTTATCAAATTTCAAATTGAAAAATTGTTATGTTCTGGCAATGATTTGATTTCTTTTAAATCCAATTGACAGAATTTAAGAAACTATTGGGAGTTTTTTTTTTTTAATCTTTAAAGATTTTTTTTTTATTTATTCATGAGAGGCACAGAGAGAGAGAGAGAGGCAGAGACACAGGGAGAGGAAGAAGCAGGCTCCATGCAGGGGGCCAAATGTGGGACTTGATCCCAGTTCTCCAGGTTCAAGGCCAAAGGCGGCGCTAAACCAGTGAGCCACCTGGGCTGCCCTGGGAGTTCATTTTATTGAAAGTGATATATCATTATTTGGAACATCTTTGTTGACTTATTTGTAAAAGTGAACACTAAAGATGTATCTGTTTTCATGGAGATAATATGATTACAAGTTTTGTGTAGCATAATTTATGATTAAAAAATGGTTTCCTAATAAATTAAGAAATTTATGGAGGAGCCATGTACAGGAAATTTGTTAAGGTACACTCATAATTTAAATTCAAACCAGCTATAGTATTCTATCCTTTGAAATATAAGCTATCATTATCCAAATTTACAAATATTCTGTACATACACAGAAAACTGAGCTACAAAATTTCTTTGAAAGAGCTAGTACCAAACACACACACATTATCATGGCAATATATATTTTCTCTTCTTATGACACATCACAACATCGATTTTAGATATGTTTGAGCTTAAACTGACCAATTTGGTAAGTCATTCTAATTGTCCTACAGTTACATTGATTTCTTTTGTAGCCAAGTTCCTTAATATTTCATGTTGTTAAAAAACAATTAGAAGTATTTAATAACTGTGTTAGAGTGGAATTTCAATTTTTGAAGCTTTGAAAGGAACTACAATTACTGAAGACAAAGCATGAAAACAAGTAGTCATCAAAATTTATTCCTACAAAGGAAGCAATTGAGCAAATTAAATAAGAATGTAAATGTTGTACATGATTTAGTTTTAAAATCCTATAATTGTATTTTGGAACATCTCATCTGGTAGAAAATCTTTTGATGGAGCCTCTGGTTTTTATTTGTATACATTTATTTTCTGTATCACAGTAAAATGAAATTGAGAGGATCAATGATTTTCGAGGATTCAAATTTGGCAAAACATTCGAAAGAATAATAAAAAGTGTCAACTCATTGACAAGATCCAACTGTAAAACTGTTGAACATTGTTACTTTGAATGGAGCAAAAGGATATTTGAGATGAAATATTTCCATTTAAATATGAAAAAATAAAATTCAGACTATCTTGCACTTAGCAGAATTTGCTCTGAACAGACTATGGCCCTCAGTGCTATAAACAGAATATTTTCTCAAATATTATGTTCTACATAGAGCAATTAGGGGTATCAAGAATTTCAAATCTATTGACCAAAAGATGCCATTGTGAGGATGCATCTAGGTAATATTATGATAAAACCATTTTACTTTGCTTTAAGAACACACATATACATTATTTAGCTTTTTAGAAATAATTTCATTTTATAACTATTCCTGTACAAAACTAGTTTCTAGGCCTACCAGTATAAACAAAATCAATGTTAGTGACTATTTCATAAGTCATATTACTTAAATTATTTTGATGTCTTTTTTCATTCTCAAAAGTATACATTTGAACAAAAATTGATTTTGGACAGAATGATTGGGCAGGTAATAATAATATAATTGCTACTTTAGATAAACAGAAATGGAGCCCAGGGAGGTAAAGTAACCTTCCCAAAGTTACACAGCTAACAAGTGCTAAAGTGATATTGAAAAAAAAAATTTTTTTAATGTAATAATAAACTGTTACCTATTGGGCATCTCCTATGGACTGAAGAGCATATTTGGTGCATGACATATACTCTTTATTTCTCAACAGAAGCTGTAAAGCAGATTATAATTATTTTTTATTCTTATTTTTATAGTCAAGGAAATTGAGGCTTACTGAAGTAAGATAATGTGGCCAAGATCAACAGCTGGTAAGTGAAAAAACTGGATTTCCTTCTGTCTGATCACAAGCTCATATCTCTTACCCATTCCTTCTTTTTTTCCTTCTGCAGATTTATTGAGATATAATTCACATATAATATTGTGGAATTTTAAGTCGTACAATGTGATGATTTGATATATGTATGTAATGCAAAATATTTACCAAAATAAAGTTAGTGCATCCTGTACCTCACATAATTGCCAGCTTGTTATTGTTATTCAGACCCATTCTTAATGGAAGTTTTAAACAATTCCTAGGAAAACATGAGATACACAGAAAAGGAACCATAATCATTACTTTGAAAGTAAAGGGACCAAGGTTCCTAATTAAGTAAAGATTCCCAGGTTCCAAGGTTAGCTAATAAAAAAGGACAAAGAATGGTCAACATGGTAGACTGTCTCCCATTACCTGTGGCTTCACTTTCTGTGGTTGCAGTCACTCACAGTCAATGGGGTCCAGAAGCACATGATCTTCGAGATGCATGGTTAGCAGGTCAGTAGTATAGCCTAATGCTATGTCACGATGCCTGTGCCACTCACTTCTCTTCATCGCATCTTCTAGGCATTTAATCATCTCACATCATCACAAGAACAAGGGTGAGAATAGTACAAATTATTTTGAGAGCGAGACCATCTTCACATAACTTTTATTTACAGTATATTGTGCTACTTGTTCTATTTTATTATCATTATCATTGATCTCTTGCTCTGCTAATTAGACCCAGTAAGTTTAATAAATTAAACTTTATCATAGGTGTGTCTGTTGAGGAAAAAACAGAGTACATTGGGTTTGATATTATCTGCAGTTTCAGGCATCCACTGGGGGTCTCGGAAACTATCCCGCATGGATGAGGGAAGACTACTATTCCCAGCATGTAAAGAAAATGAATTTTAAGTAAATAAGCCCAAGTTAACATTCCAGCTCTATAACCTACTAGCTGAGCAATCGTGAAGCCTAGTTTCATGATCCATGAGCTTCAGTCTATAAACAAAATGGCAAAAAAAAAAAAATGTCTATCTTAGAGTGGGTTGAGAATAAAGTAAAGTAGGGTTTAGAGAATAAAGTGAAGGAGCACTTAAAAACAAACTTAGAATAGTGCTTCAACCATTACTAGTATTGAACAAATGTTATCTATTATTATTATTGTTCATATTAACAACAATGTAAAGCAGTCCTTCTTTGAGAAATGGCTCATGTGAGTCTGCTTGCTAATGCCACAGAAACTGCCTGCGTCACCTTACAAATTGGACTTCGTTGCCTATATGTTTACCTTGGAAAATAACTATCAAATAAATATGTGGGTTACCTGATGAGTGGATAGGATGTGGGAGATAGAATTTTTTTTAAAGATTTGTTTATTTATTTATTTGAGAGAAGAAGAGAGGGCAGAGGGAGAAGGAGCAGATTCCCAGCTGAAAGTGGAGCCAGACATGAGGCTCGATCCCAGGACTCTAAGTTCTTGACCTGAGCCAAAATCAACAGTCAGCTGCTTAACTAACTGAGCCATCCAGGCACCTCCAATGACAATGTTTTAATAGGCCAAACCAGTTATAATTTTTATCATATTCCTCTCCTAAAAATTAGGGGGATTCCTCCCATAGCACATTATCCTATCTTAAAGAGTGAATGGAACCAGGAAATCAAAATGATATAGCTTGTCCTTAGATAGAATCATTTTAAGCACTTTTATTCTGCTGCCAAGATTATTTAGCATTATCCTTGGTGGGAGGGGTGTAGGCAGTGAATTTGGTAATAAGATTTTATTATTGGCATCAAAGTTTATGTTTCTTGTGATTGTCTTTCAAGGTAAAAAATGTCAAAGTTGTTTTTCTGCCCCACTTCTCTAAGGGCTTAAAAAGTACATTTTTTAAAGATTTATTTATTTATGTGAGAGAGAAATAGTGTGGGTGAGCAGGGAAAGGGGCAAAGAGAGATGGAGAGAATCTCAAGCAGACTCCCCTCTGAGCACAGAGCCTGACATGGGGCTCTATCTCACAACCATAAGACCACAACCTGAGCCAAAATCAAGAGTCAGATGCTTAACTGACCAAGCACCCAGGTGCCCCTAAAATTTATTCCAGAAGCAATGTTATACAATTACATTCTTGAAGCAACGTAATGCAAGGTAAGGAACATTTGGCATGACAATCTAAAGATCTGCCATCTTACTAGAAATATGAATTTTACTAATCTCTTAGGTTTCTAAGCCTCAGGTGCATTATCTGCTAACAGAAATGATGTTTGGGACTTCAAATGCAATAATACAAAATAGAGACACTGTAAACTGGAGAACTTTGGAGGTAGTTACGCCATGTCACACACCTTGTGTGGATATTATATGAGACAAAAATACTAAATGTTTTATATTTTTAATACACAAGAACATTATATGTACAATTGTTACAAAGATTAGATGGCTTAATCTGCTCAAGTAGCTACTAATGAACTTTTATTTGTTTCGTTCAGGAACTCACGGATAGTGAACCAGACAGTATGTTGCAATGGTAAATAAAACAGAAAATGTCCCTGCTTCATGGCATTTACCATCTACTAGAAAAGTTGGACATAAACACTCAATTATATAATTAAATGTTGTGATAACTTCTATGAAGTAAACTAACTGGCTCCTAAGAGACAGAATAACAGCTGGGGAGTGGGAGCTAAGTTGGACTGGAGAATTGGTGGGTATAATATTTGAACTGAATCTTAATAGATGAGTTGCTTTTAACTAAGTGAAGACTATTAACGGATGGGTGAGAAGAGGTGAAGGAGCTGTCTCAGTGGAGAAAATAACATATATAAAACCTGAAGCAGGCACAAGGTTCGTGTTCCCTAGGAACCTTTTTGAAACTGGTTCAGTGATGTTGTCATGTGCAAACATGAGATGGAGTTTTAAGATCTAGACAGAGGCCAGATCCTGCAGATCGTTTGGGGCCATGTTAAAGAGATTGGGTTTTATCTGAAATAGAAAGCAAAGCCATTGAAAGGGATAGGAGAGGGAACCTTTTCATATTGGACAAATTTATTTGCAATGACTCTGAGGCATTTAAGTGGCTGAGTCAAGTAGTTAACTGGATATGAGTTTGTCATTCTGGGGGTTAGGATTGGCAATATCAATTTGGATATCATTAGCACAGACAGTATTTTTAAAATCATGAGAATGAATGAGACCACTAGGTTGAGAGTCTAAGAAAAGAACCCAAAGAACTTCAACACTGAGATGTTGATAAAAAGAGTAACGAGGGCAGCCCAGGTGGCTCAGTGGTTTAGTGCTGCCTTCAGCCCAGGGCGTGATCCTGGAGTTCCAGGATCCAGTCCCACGTCGGGCTCCCTGCAGGGAGCCTGCTTCTCCCTCTGCCTGTATCTCTGCCTCTCTGTCTCCTCTCTGTGTATTCTCATGAATAAATAAATAAAATCTTAAAAAAAAAAAAAAGAGTAACGAGTAAAGGAGACTAAGAAAGAATTGCCAAAAATATAAGAGGAACTGTGGTGTCAAGGCATCAATGAAGCCCATGGTTTTGACAAATAGTGGCCACTTGGGTCAAATCTTCAAAGTTCGTTATAGAGGTCAGCGTCAACTTTAGCAACAATGAGTTAGATGGAGTGTTGGAGGCAGATGCCAGATTCAAGCGAGTGGAAAGGCAAACAGAAGGTTCGAAAATAAAGCCAAGGCCAGAGGAAAGTTTTTAAAAAAGATTTAAATACAAACAGAAAGAGAAATACAGAGCAGTAAGTGTGGGAAGATGAGATGCTTAAAACAAACAAATAAACAAACACACAACTTTTTTAAAGACCAGAAGTAGTAGAAAACGCTTATATGTTAATGAAACAATCCAATTGGAGCAGAGGTTTAAGATGAAGGGGAGAGAAAGAACAACTGAAGAAGTAAATTCCTTGAGAAGGTGAGAGAGCCCAGGATTCAGAATAGAAGCAGAGGGCCTCTTTGTTAGAAGTGGTTACTGATCCTAAAGATGTGGTGATACAAATTTACTCAGCTGCATGAATCTCTTCATTGATGCCCAGCTTCAAAGATGCAGCCTAGAGGCAGGTAATTGGGTTGATCTCATGTGGAGTTTTGCCAGAGCAGTTCATGAGATTGAGAGATCAACAATGGCAATTTACAAGGTGGTGCTTATAGCAGGTTGGGCTTGGGACTTTTGATAATAGACTGATGCAGACTTGGTATTTGTAGCAGTAAGCAGCATGTGGCCTAACTACTTTCAAGATGTGTCCTGCGATGTATATTCAATTTGAAGGCTAATACCTGTTTCTTTATTGCTACTTCTGAAGTACATCTAGGCATGAACATTTTAGTAGCTAAAATGTAGTGCCAATTTTTCCCATTCGGCATTCTTCGGTCAAGTAAGTAAGTAAGAATAAGCATTTTTATGGATCTCTATAAACATTATTTTCATTTTGAATTCTAAAGATGGGTCTTGTAAACACCTTTTCAAAATTTTATTCCAAGTTGGTCTTCACGCAAAGACTTAGCTCACTACTAAGCCTGAGGGCATGGTGGCTGTGAAGAACAACCACAGGCTCAGGGGATAAGTGAGTGGGCAATGACTTTGGGGCAGCCACTTTCACTTAGAACACATTCCTAAAAGTGTTGCTTCTGGAAACTTCCTAATCACTGGGTATCACAAATGATTACTTGGCCTACTGGGTGAAAGATGTCACAAATTAGCTTTAAGAAATTTAAAAATATGAGTCTAAATATGAATGTAAGTTAGATTAGAGTGCACATGTAAAGGAACTAATTTTTAACATTTTTGGATAAGATTTCCCTGTTTACAATCTACTCTCCCTTAACAAATACTTTCGATAGATTTTTTTTTAAAGATGCACTACCTAATTATCCTCCTACACCCATGTTCCTTCTTTGAGGCTCCTTCCTTTCTGTCTATGAAAATCCATCCAGCAGATACCCTCTCTCCCAGCTAAGCCCTGACTGTGACCTCTGTCTTGGCCACCATTACCTCCTTGTCC